CAGACACTACTCACCAAGGTAGAATGTAGAGCATTGTCTTTATAAGCTGTGTCATGCCAATTGAGCTAGATGTTCCCCGAGACCATGGTCCCCGGGAAATGAAATCTTGATACATGCTACAACATGGACGAAGCTTGAAAATATCATGCTGTGTGAAATAGGTCAGTCACAAAATGACAAAAATTGTATGATTCCACTTATAAGAAATACCTAAAATAGAAAAGTATATACAGTCTTCACTAGTGGTTACTGAGAGTGAATAGGAGGGAGGGGAAAAGGGGACTTATTGCTTAGGTGTCTTAGTTATCTAGTATTGCTATAACAGAAATACCACAAGTGGATGGCTTTAACAAAGAGAAATTTATTCTCTCATAGTCTAGGAGGCTAGAAGTACAAATTCAGCCTGCTCCAGGGAAAGGCTTTGTCTTCCTATCAGTTCTGAAGGAAGGTTGTTGTCATCAATCTTCCCCTGGTCTAGCAGCTTTTCAGCACAGGGACCCCAGGTCCAAAGCATGCACTCTGCCCCTGGTGCTGTTTTCTTGGTAACGTGAGGTTCCTCTCCTCTCTGCTTAATTTTCTCTTTTATAGTTCCAAAGAGATTGACTCAAGATACAACCTAATCTTGTAGATTGAGTCCTGCCTTATTAACATAACTGCTCTAATCCTGCCTCATTAACATCATAGAGGGTAGGATTTACAACACATAGAATAACCACATCAGATCACAAAATGGTGGACAACCACACAATACTGGGAATCATGGCCTAGCCAAGTCAATACACATTTTTGGGGGACACAATTCAATTCCCAGCATTAGGGGGTACTGAGCTTCTGTTAAAGTGATGGGAAAATTGGGAAACAGATAATGGTGACGGTTGCACAACATGATCAACGCAATGTCACTGAATTGTGCATGTGAAGAATGTTGAAATTGCAGATGTTTTGTTTCATATATAATTACCACAATAAAAAAATTGAAGGCTGATTTCAAGGAGGTGAAACATAACTCCAACTTCTTAGATATGGGCTCTATATAGTGACTTCCTTCCAAAGCGTACAGTATGGAAAGGAGCAAGAGAAGAGTAACTTTACAGTGGAGAAACCTGACAAACACTGTTAGCCAGGTGATCAAGATCAACATCAACAGTGATGTCATGTTGAAAGTATGTACCCTAGCTAGGATGTGATGAAAATGTCATTTTGCCTTTGTGGTCTTCCTCACAATAACACATAACTCCTGTCCAATCATGAGAAAAACATCAGACAACTTCCAATAGTGAGGCATTTTTATGGGTTGAATTGTGTCCCCCCAGAATATGTGTTGGAATCTTAACCCCTATACCTGTGGATGTAATGTAATGTAATTACATTCCATAATGTAATCTAATGTAATGCAATCATCTTCTCATCATGTAATCTAATACAATGTAGTCAATTAATCAGTTGAGGCTGTACCAGTGTAGGGTGGATCCTAAACCTAATCGCTTACATTATATAAAGAGCAGCATAGACACAGAAAGACACACACACAGAAGACAGACAACATGTGAGAGTCATCTACAAGCAAAGAAATGCCAAGAGTCATCAGCAGACACTGGAAACTAGGAGAGAGTCTCACGGAAGGAAATGACATGGCTGAGACCTTGACATAGATTTTTAGCTTCCAGAAGTGTGAGAAAATAAATTTCTGTTTTTTGTTGTTGTTGCTATTTAAGGCCACACAATCGTGGTGTTTCTGTTAAAGCAGCAGTAGGAAGCTAAGACAAGCATCCTACAAAACCTCTGACCAGTCCTCCTCAAAACTGTCAAGATTATCAAAAACAAGGAAAGTCTAAGAAACTGCCACAGTCAAAACCAAACCAAACCCGTTGCCATTGAGTCGATTCCGATTCATAGCTATCCTATAGTCAAGAGGAACCTAAATAAACATGATCACTAAATGCCATGGGATCCTGGAACAGATAAAGAACACTAGGTAAAAATTAAGGAAATCTAAATATATATGGATTTTAGTTAATAATAAGGTATCAATATTCGGTTCATTAATTGTCACAAAAAGCCCTGGGTGGTGCAAATGGTTAAGCTCTCAAGCAGTAACTGAAAGGTTGGCAGTTTGAAAGCACCCAGAGGTGCCTCAGAAGAAAGACTTGGAGATCTGCTTCTGAAAAGTCACAGCCTTGAAATCCCTGTGGAGCAGTTCTACTCTGCACGCATGAGGGCGCCGTGATTCGGAATTGTATCTACGGCAACCAACAACAAAGCAATTACGACAAATAAATGATACTAGTGTAGGAGGGACCAGTCCCTGGAGAAGGACATCATGCTTAGTAGAGGTGTCATGGATTGAATTGTGTCCTCCCAAATTTCATGTGTGTATCAATTTGGCTGTGCCATGATTCCCAGTATTGTAAGATTGTGTACCATTTTGTAATCTGATGTGATTTCCTTATGTGTTGTAAACTTTATCACTATGATGTAATAAGATGGATTAGCAGCAGTTATAAGGATGAGCTTTACAAGATTGGATAGTGTCTTAAGCCAATCTCTTCTGAGATATAAAAGAGAGAAGTGAACAGAGACACATGCGAACCTCATACCACCAAGAAAGCAGTGCCTAGAGCAGAGTGCGTCCTTTCAGACCTGAGGTTCCTGCGCAGAGAAGCTGCCAGACCAAAGGAAGACTGATGACACGGACCTTCCTCCAGAGCCAACAGAGAAAGCGTTCCTGTGGAGCTGACACCCTAAAATTGGACCTGTAGCCTGCTGGACTGTGAGAGAATAAACTTCTCTTTGTTAAAGCCCTCCACTTGTGGTATGTCTGTTATAGCAGCACTAGATGACTAAGACAAGAGGGTATGTGAAAAAGAGGAAGACCCTTAGTGAGATGAATTGATGCAGTGGCTGCAACAACAGGCTCAAACGTAACAATGATTGTGAGGATGGTGCAGGACATGACATTGTTTAATTCTGTTGTACTTAGGGTCACTATGAGTTGGAATTGACTCCACGGCACCTAAGAACAACAACAATGCAAGAAGTCAACAATAAGGGAAACTGGGTGCCAGGTATCAGAGAACTTTCCGTACTATCTTCCTAATTTTTCTGTAAATCAAAAACTGTTCTCAAGAATAAAGCCTATTAAAATTTCTTTTAAAAAAATGAGGGCTGGAGATACTGGGTGTCTCCTTACCTGTCACCACCAAATCCAGGGTGTCATTGTGCCCTGACCAGCCTTTGTAGTCCTTATATCGGCAGCGGTAATGCCCTGCAGAGTTTGCATCCATGGAGCGAATGGTGAATTCAGCTGCCTCCTTCTGAAATCCCAATATTTCATCTACCTTCTGGTACTCAGAGTTTCTCAGAATCTCCAGGCGGTACAGGTATGACTCAGGAGTTCCCTTGCACAGGACCGTCACAGTCTCATTCCGGGGAACCACAGAACCTGGTATGGCAGATATGGTAGGAAAGGGGAGGTTCCCTGGAAGAGAAATGGAGCCCAGATTTAGTTGAGCTGACATGGAGAAATTATATGTGTGTGTGTGTGTTGTTGTGTGCTGTCAAGTTGATTCTGACTCATAGCTTATAGGACAGAGTAGAACTGTCCCATAGGGTTTCCAAAGGTTTAAACCGTTACATGAGCAGACCGCCACATCTTTCTCTGAGAAGCTGTTTGGTGGGTTTGAACCACTGACTTTTTGGTTAGTAGCCAAGCACTTAACCATAGTGCCACCAGGGCTTCTATATGTATATGTAGGAAAAAGCTTAAAACTGAGGGTTTTTTATGGCTTAGTAATATTCCGTTGTATGCATATACCATATTTTGTTTGGCGCCCTGGTGGCACAGTGGATAAGAGCTCGGCTGCTAACCAAAGGTCAGCAGTTCGAATCCACCAGCCACTCCGTGGAAACCTTATGGGGCAGTTTTACTCTCTCCTATAGGGTCGTTATGAGTTGGAATTGAATCATGGCAATGGGTTTTTGGTTTTTTGGTGGTTGTTAGTTGCCATCGAGTTGACTCTGATTTATAGCGACCTCAAGTACCACAGAACAAAATGTTGCCCTGTCCTGTGACATCTTCACAATTGCTGGTATGCTTGAGTCCATTGTTGGGGCCATTGTGTATTTTGCGTGCCTTCCATCCTAGGGGGCTCATCTTCCAGCACTATATTAGACAGCGTTCTGTTGTGATCCATAGAGTTTTCATTGGCTAATTTTTGAAAGTAGATTGCCAAGCCTTCTTCCTAGTATGTCTTAGTCTGGAAGCTCTGCTGACACCTATCCACCATGGGTGACTATGCTGGTGTTTGAAATACCGATGGCAGAGCTTCCAGCATCACAGCAACACACAAGCCGCCACAGTATGACAATCTGACAGATGGGTAGAAATACGCATAACATAAAATTAGTCATTTTAAAGTGGCATTAAATGCATACACAATGTGGTGCAGCCATCACCTCTATCTAGTTCTGGAATTTCTTCATTACCCGCAAAGGAAACCACATACTTGTTAAGTAATTACTCCCCATTCCCCCTCCCCCACAGCCCCTGGTAACCATTAATCTGCCATGAGGTTTGCTGGGTGTTTTGTTTTTGTGGCAATCTTTATCAACATCCAGTTCTGCATGAGTGTGTGTGTGAGTGTGTGTGTGCGTGTGTATGTGAGTGTGTATGACTGTATGTGTGAGTGTGTGTGAAGGCTCCACAAGGTTGGAATTGGTGGATAGGGAAAGATGGGAGGAGACACTTAAAATGAGGGCACTTGGAGACTTAGATGGTTAATGCTCTGGGCTGCTAACCAAAAGGTTGGAAGTTCAAGTCCACCCAGAGGCACCTTGAAAGAAAGTCCTGGCGATCTACTGTTAAAAAATCAGCCATTGAAGACCCTATGGAAACGAAACAACCAGAACAGAAATAATGAGAATATTTATGCATTGTGAAGAATGTAACCAATGTCACCGAACAATTTTGTAGAAATTATTGAATGGAAACCTAAATTGCTGTGTAAATCTTCCCTGAAAACACATTAAAATGTGATTAAAAAAGAAAGAAAAGAAAATCCTATGGAGCACAGTTCTACTCTGACGCACATGGGGTCGTCATGGGTCGGAGCTGACTCCACGGCAACAATTTTTTGGTTTTTTTGTGGGTGGAGTAGGGGGTGACTTAGAGAAACCATGTCAACTGATCAAGACCACAGAATTGCAGAGCGGCCAAGCCTGATTTGGAGACTAGGACAATTTCACTCCAGATTCTGAGCCCTTTGCCCTGCAGGTGGGGCAAGCTCTCTGTCCTGAAATGGTCAGAGTACGCAGTGTGAGGGACAACTCACAAGAATGTCTTATAAACATGGTAATTAGTTCCGTGAGCTAGAGCCAGAAGGCTAGGGCCTAGGAACTGGATGCCTTCATAAATGAGCTTTGGGACAGAGAACTTGGAAAGGTTTGGGGGCAAGAAGGTGCTGGTTAGCTTCCTGCTCCCAGTTCATTCATGCTGAATGGCCTTGAGCAAGTGGTTTTGTATTATAAAGACTTCTGTTCTCAGTGTAGGATTCCTGGGTGGTGGAAAAGGTTAATGCACTTGGCTGCTAGCCAAAAGATTGGTGGCTCAAGTCCACTCAGAAGCACCTCAGAAGAAAGGCCTGGTGATCTACTTCCAAAAAATCAGCCATTGAAAATCCTGTGGAGCTCAGCTCCACTCTAACACACATGGATCTGCATGAGTCAGAATAGGCTTGCAGGCAACTGGCTGGTCCTCAGCTTTAATCCTGATACAGAAATTGACCAGTGGGGGTCAAGGCACTTAAAATGGGCAGGTTCTGTTCACACAGGTTTATCTTCTCTGCTTTGCCACTGTGTTTTCAGTATTTATTTTAGACGTGTTATCAATGTGTTCAACTGTAGCTCTGTCTCTGTAGAGGGGGATAATAGGCGGCTTGCCCCTTCTCACCAGGACTGTTGTCAACCAAGACAAACCTGATAATAGGTGGCTGCGAAAGGTGTTGGCTGTGCCCTCTGAATCTTAATTATATTCCATGTGTTCAATATCATCCACTCACCAATACATCTGTGCATCTCTTATTCCACAACATATAGAGAGATGCTTACATAACTCCAGGCACTTTGCTAATCATTAGCACTACAGATAGTCCCCTATTTATGATGTATTCAAGTTACGATGAACTGCACTTATGACCATCTGTTTGTTTTCTGTACATCTTATCATGAGTAATATGTACTACATACAATGTTGCAGCGGGTAATTTACCAGTGTTATCATTCTCAGATGTTCACTCGAAGATGTTCAATGCTATGATTTATAAAGTACTGATTAAAAAAAGGTGGTAATAATGAAAAAGGAAGAAAAAAGAGGTATTCAACTTATGTCAGAATCAACTTAAGATAGAGTCGTCAGAATGGAACACCGCCGTAAATCGACGTACAAGAATGACTTAATTTGGTGGGTCTCAACAAAGGGAAAGCTTGTGTCTCAGGAGGGACAATTTGGCAATGTCTGGAGTCATTTTTGGTTGTCACGACTCGGGTGAGATGTACTATTGCCATCTAGTAGGCAGAGGCCAAGGGTACTGCTCAACATCCCACAATGCCAAGACAATTCCCCACGACAAGTAATTAACCCACCCACTGCCATTGAGTCCGTTCTGACTTCATAGCAACCCTATAAGACAGAGTTGAACTGCCCCATAGACTCTCCTAGGCTGTAATATCTATCTACGGAAGCTGACGGCCACATCTTTCTCCTGCAGAGTGGCTGGTAGGTTCAAATAGCCAACCTTTCAGTTAGCAGCCAAGCGCTTAACCACTGTACCACCAAGTCTCCTTCAGCAAAGAATTACCTTGTACAAAACATCAATAATGCTGAGATTGAGAAATCCTGACCTATCCAGACCTGGTTAATGCCTTCAAGGAATCAATGATGTAGGAAAGTCAGATATTAATTATTAACTAAAAATACAAACCAAAACCAAAACAAAAACAGTTGCCATCATGTTGATTCCCACTCATGGTGACCCCAAGTGTGTCAGAGTAGAACTGTGCTCCATAGCATTTTCAATGGCTGATTTTTCAGAAGGATTGCAATGCCTTTCTTCTGAGACTCTGGGTGGACTCTAACTGCCAACCTTTCAGTTAGTAGCCTAGCACTTTATTGTTTATGCCATCCAGGGACTCACTGTCTCTCTGTAGATAGATACATAGACAGATAGACAGATAGTTAGATAGATACATAAATAGATATTGATATAGTCTTTTACTGGTTCTGTTTCTTTGGAGAACTCTGGCACGTACAGTGGGTTTATCTGAAGATCAACAATTAAAAGTTTTAAGAGGAAGATAACATATTTGTATTTTAAAAACGCAAATAATCCAGACTGCCATTTAGAAGGAGCTGGATAAATGGATGGACATGTAGTTCACACCTATTAGGAGGCCAAATAGTAGCTGGGGTAAAAGAATATATAGTAGTACCTTGGAATTAGGCAGTGTCCCTTCAAATAAAGTGGAATGAACAGACTTGGGAGAGTTAGAATGTGAATACAAGTCGACTGGACACAGTGGCATCACTAGGATTGGTTGTCACCCAGTGTGGTGTCACCCTCCCCCAAGGACCTCCTTCCATACTGGACATTACAGAATCCTTAGTCATGTTTATTATCAATATTAATCATAAAACAATATGTGATAAACATAGTTGTAAATTGTTTAAATGTAATATTTCTTAGATTATATGAATACTAACAACAAAATTGTTCTGTAAAATCTTTCTACATTGAATTACAACATTATTAGTTACAACATTATTAGAAACTGAGCAGAAGCCTTTTTGGTTTTTCTCCATCTTGTCTTTTAATTACTACTTCATTCTCAAAAAGTTATTGATATAGGTTCACAGATACTACTTACCACAATATTGTAGCTAAAACACCAGAAAATTTGACAAAATCAGCCACTATAAAAACACCGGCAGCAACAGAAACAAGTGTGGGCAAAACCACGTGATCTGAAGCATCACTGTAATTGGGTAATAATGACAGCTCTGGCCAGAGTGCATCAGAAGGTTCAAAAAGTAAATTAGCATAGAGTTTTAGCTTTGCAAGTATATTGACACATGGAGGCTGGGCTTATGAAAAATGTTTTTTGTTGTTATAACTAACTACAGGAATATTTTTATAAAAAATAATAAATTTCTGCTGAAACCCTGCACAAAATTTTATATACAGTCACTTTGGTGTCACCCCCTGACAGTGTCACTCGGTGCAGTCTGCATGTCCCGCATTCCCCTAGCGACGCCACTGATTCGACACAGGGCAGGATATTGGGCAATCAGAGATAACTCCTGACTTTCTCACTCCTGCAGTTGTGACATTCAGTAAAACAGAGATCTCTGATCAAACAGCCTAACGAGGACAAAGGTTGTAAATTCAGGTCTGAGTTCGAGAGGTCTAGGGATACCAAAGTGAGACGGAAATTTTCCAAGGAGAACATAGTGGAAACAGCTAGACTGAAGAATAAAATCAGAATTCATTTGGACTTTAGAGATCTCTCAGGCCCTGCTAACCCAGAGTTGAGTGCATAAGGCATCTTGGGGAGATTTACGGAACACTTACATTTCTGTCCCTGAATCCTCTGCCCCAGACAGAGCACTGGAAGAGAGAGAAATTAATGAAAAATTAATTCTCTTGTTTCTAATCTCTATCACAAACCACCCCAAATAAGGACATGTTATTGTTAGTTGCCATTCATTTGATTCATACTCATGGTAACCCCAAGTGTGCAGAGTACAACTGCTCCACGGGCTTTTCAAGGCTGTGGCCTTTTGGAAGCAGATCATTTATCTTCCAAGGTGCCTCTGACTGGGTTCAGACTGCCAATCTTTCAGCTAGAGGTAGAGCTTAACAGTTCATTGCACCACCAGGGACTCCATAACAACAGTGACACACAGGTTAAAAGAATTATCTTCTTCCACAATAAATTCTTCTTTGTCTAATCTTATCACAAACCACTCCAAATAATGACATACATACAGGGTAAAAACTATTTTTTCTTTGACAACAAACACAACTTTTGAAGGTCATCCTTTGGCTTCATTTTCCAGTAAGATACCAGCCCTTAAGACTCTCCTCTGTAGGAACTCTGGACCGAGCATGAATCTCCAGACATTTTACCATAGACTAAATACAGACAACCGAACCCCGAAAGCTAGCTTGATCTTGGGAAGAGGCAGAGGTACAGATATCTGCGCCAGTCGTTTCTCCACTGAGGAAATCAGAATCTCCTTGGCAACCACTGAAAGCACTGAGTCCTCCTGTTAAGAGAGACCCTGACTAGTCTAGGTTTCCCCCATCTCCTCCTCTAATCCACTTTCATTTCAATCCACCTTAGCTACAGGACTCACCAAGGCAGAGAAGGTTGGTGCCTTTGGGGACCATGATGCAGACACAGCATTTGTTGGTGCATATTTGGGGTAGGACTGTCCCTAACAACACAGTAAGATCCACAGGAAGTGTGAGATCAGAGCCTCTCATCAGATTTCTACATCTATTGCCCCAGAGGAAAGAGGAACAGTTCCTTCCTAAAGAACTTAGTTCCGGACTGCTCCCGAGTGGGGTCTACAAGATCTGTGTTCCTGTTCGTGTTTCAACCAGAATTGAGTGTTTTCCTCAAACCAGTGTCTAATGGGGATCAAATTTTCACCTTTGGATGAGATCCTACACCCAAATGGAGGGCCTGGGACATAATACAAGGAGGATGCCATACAGAGATTTTCTTCCTGGTACCATTAGTCAAAAGTCATGTGTCCTTGCTTGTTCTTGACCCCAGTATCCTCTCTTGGCTTCATGGATGATTGTATTCAGTTGGATTAGATCAAGCAGGCAGTATGCTGTTATACTGGAGGCTCTCTCAATGCCAGAATGTAGGGGAATTTTCTCGGGAGTTATTTAATATCTCTAAAGAAAGAACCTCCAAGTTTTCTTTTGGTTGTAGACTCCTGGCTATCACTAGTTCTTCAAGTATGATGGGAAAGTTAAATATTTTTGATCAAACTTTTAACTCACCACGTCATTTTCATTGTAATACACTATTCCTGCCTTCCAACACACTAAGTATTTTGAATTCCTGAGCCTCTCTTTTCTTTTGGAAGGTAAGTCAGCTCCTACATTTTGTGCAAATTTAAGGTATACCTTCTTTCACTGTATTTCTTCAATTTCCACATATATATTTACTTTCAGTCATCTGGAAATTCAGATATGTAGACCGCATAAAATTAATCACATTGTAATTTTCTTTTTTGTGGTTCATATTTATTTATTCATTTGTCGTCGTTGGAATGGAGGGTGGGTGTTGTTATGAATTAGATTATGTCTCCCAAAAGATATGTTGAAGTCCTAACGCCTGATATTTATGAATGTGTCTTCTTTGGAAATAAGCTCTTTGAAGATGTGTCAGTTAAGTTAACATGAATACATACCAGAGTCAGGCTGGCCCTAATTCGATATGAGTGGGGTCCTTATGAAAGAGAAGAGACGCAGAGACACACACAGAGAGAAGATGGCCAAGTGAAGACAGAGGCAGAGATGGAGTTATATTGCAGCTGCAAGCCAAGGAACACCTGGGGCTACCAGAAGCTGGGAGAGGCGAGAAAGGATCATCCCCCGGAGTCTTTGGAGAGAGATAGCCCTGCTGATACCCTATACTCAGACTGCTAGCCTCCAGAACTGTAAGAGAATAAATTTCTGTCATTTTAAGGCGTCCATTTTGTGGCAGTTTGTTATGGTAGTCTTAGGAAACTAATACAGGTGAAGAAAGAAAAAAAATGACTGCGCTTTTAGTTGGGTATTTAAAATGACTAGAGGAGTGTTGGAAAATTCCTGGATTATAGAGGTAGAGTTACCCGACTAAAAATATTGTCTTTACTGCTTAAAAGTGATGTGGTTTTCTAGGGGAAAGGACTATTTACCAACCAACTGGATTTCAGGAACCTGCCTGGGTCACAGCTACTAACAAGTAAGCACACATTGTGTTAGCCGATTACAACCTTTGTGGTAATCTTTTGTTCCCCCTTTTTTGGAACAGCAATGGTAAAGTCGCCGAGACTTTTTCCCACATATAATGTATTTTGAAGAGTTCATGCTCTTTTCTGTCAACCACAGAAAGACAGAGATCCTCAATGAGATGAAATGGCACAGTGGCTGCAACATTGGGCTCAAACACAGCAACGATCATGAGGATGGTGCAGGACTAGGCACCATTTTGTTCTGTTATACATAAGGTCGTCATGAGTCAGAGTAAACTCGATGGCACTTAACAACAGCATATTGTTTTCTCTCTCTTTTGAACATATTTTGATTTCAATTTCATTAGATTCTGTCCTCTCCTGAGGCCAGATAAATAATGGTGAAATCTTAATTTGTGGCCTGCACTTAGGGATATCAACATTTTTCTTAGACCTCCAGGCTCAACCCCAAATTCTAGCTTAGGGGTCAGCAAACTTTTTCTGTTAAGGGCCAGATAGTAAATATTTTAGACTTTGTGGGCCATAGAGACTCTGTCTTAACTACTCAACTCAGTCATTTTAGTGTAAAAGCAGCCATAGACAATATGTAAATGAATGAGCATGGCTGTATTCCGATAAACGATGGATGGCGGGCCAGATTTTACCTGCAGGCTATAGATTGCTGACCCCATCCTCTACAGCCCATCTTATCAGACTTATTTACATAATATTTATTACTTACTTATTATTATTTATATAATGAGGCGATATTTTGATGTTCTTTGCTGTGTCTTTGAATTAACACATTGGATAGGGATGTGTTAATGGAGAGAAGTGGTTGTAGTCTTAGTAAGAGTCAGGTATTCATGTGGGCTGACTTCAAAAAGGAAAAAGTTGCTGTGGAGTTGATTCTGACTCACAGCGACCCCTGTATATCAGAGTAGAGCTGCGCTTCATAGGGTTTTCAATGGCCGTGATCTTTTGAGTTAGCTGTCTAGGCCTTTCTTCCGAGGCACCTCTGTGTGGATTTGAACAGCTAACCTTTTGGTTGGTAGTCAAGCGTTTAACCGTTTGCACCATTCAGGGCCAGCTGGACTGACTTTAGCTCCATCTTTACACCATCAGAGATTCTTCTATCATCTCTGATGTTTCTTAATCCAACAAAGGGAAAAATGACTATGAGGTCTTGGACAAGTAGTTTCCCCTTGCAATTTCCTTATATAAACTGTATTATTTTGAGAACTATTCCTAAGTGTTCTAGTTTTTTTTTTTAAACCCATGTAATTCTTAGAATGTCTTCCTAAATCAACAAGTGGAAGACTTTATGTCTTAGTAAAATATTTCCACTACCAATTTGCAAAAGAGTATCTTCTCCCATATATTTTATAGACATTATTTCAATACCATTTTGAATCTATTACTGATGATACTACTTCACCTTTTTTTTACTAATATTGATGCCTTTTTTTTCTCAATATTAGAATATTTAATGGATGTTTATTTTTTTAAGTATTTCACCTGACTAGTTTCTATTAATTTTTCCTGAGTGTCTTAGTTACCCACTGCTGCTATAATACAAATACCACAAGTGGGTGGCTTTAAAGAACAGAAACTTGTTTTATCACAGTTCTGAAGGCAAGAAGTCCAAATCAGGGTCTCAGCTATGTTGATTTCTTCCTTGTTGGTGGCCCTGGGCATTCCTTGGCTTGTAGATGATCCTCATATGGTGTACCTCTTCCCCCGTGTGTATATTTCTGTGTCTATTCAGAAGTGATTAGGTTTAAGATCCACCCTACACTGGTATGATCTCATTAACATAACAAAAGAAAACCCCTTTTTGTAAACAGGGTCATATTTACAGGTACAGGGGTTAGGATTTCAACATATATTTTTTGGAGACACACTTCAATCCATAACGTTGAAGTATAATAAAAATTTCCAGGAGAGTCATATAGGTCTTCCTGTATTTCATCTAAATTATTTTTTTCCCTTATCTACGTTTTTTTAATGGCTACATTTGTGTTGTTTTTGTTGTTAGTTTCCAAGGGGGCAATTCCAATACATGGCGATTCCCCATATGTGCAGAGTAGAACTGTGCTTCGTAGAGTTTTCAATGCTGTGACCCTTTCTAAACAGATTGTCAGGCCTGTCTTCCAAGGTGCCTTTGGGTGGGTTCAAATCATCAAGCTTTTGGCTAGTAATCCAGTGTGTAACTGTTTTCGCCACCCAGTGACTCCTTACATTTGTGTAGCAATGCTTATTCACATGTTGGCTCTGTTTCTAGAATAAGCTTGTCCTTTGTAATTAAGGTTCTGTAGTGTAATAAGGGAGGCTGTCTTAGTTATCTTGTGCTGCTATAACAGAAATACCACAAGTGGATAGCTTTAACCAACAGAAATTTATTTTCTCACAGTTTAAGAGGCTAGAAGTCTGAATTCAGGGTGCCGGCTCTAAGGGAAGGCTTTCTCTCTGTCTGTTCTGGAGGCAGTTCCTTGTTTCTTCACCTTCTGCTTCCTGGTTCCTTGGAGATCTCCATGTGTCTGGACATCTCTCTTCCCCCATCTCGGCTTGCTCCCTTGCTTGTTTAATCTCTTTCATATCTCAAAGATAAACCCTACGCTAGTCCTGCCTCATTAGCATAACGAAGACAACCCATCCCCAAATGGGATTATAACCACAGGCATAGAAGTTAGGATTTACAACACATATTTTTGGGGGACATAATTAAACCATAATAGAAGGCTTTGCTCCAAGAAGGAGGACGGGAAGCTGCAGTGTCCCCCACTGACCTCAGAAATGCAGAAGGCGAGTGGCCAGTGAGGATCATAAGCTGAAGAGTGCACTCCACCTTAGAGTAAGCATGGCATATCTCCCTGGAAACATAGTTGAAACTTATAGTTTGGAGAAATGTTGAATGATGCTTTTCTTGGTAGATTCTAATATATAAAATATGGTAAAGAATAAGTGGCATCATGACTTAATATGTGGGGGGTGTGTGTGTGTGTTTGTGTGTGTATGTGTGTTTGTAACCTTCTAATAAAACAAGGCTTTGTCATTGTGAAAAATGAGCCTGTCTCACGATATGCCACATGTTCCGGGGGGCCCAAATACATTGACTGGCTGGTTCTGTTAAGACGGTGACAAGTTATACCCTAGATTATTGTTGCTAGTTGGCGTCAAGTCAGTTCTGACTCAAGGTGACCCTACTTGTGCAGAGTAGAACTGCTCCATAGGGCTTTCAAGGCTGTGACCTTTCAGAAGTGGATCACCAGGGCTGTCTCCCGAGGCGCCTCTGGGTGAGTTTGAACCACTAACCTTTTGGCTAGTAGTCGAGTACTTAACCGTTTGTGCCACCAGGGACTTGGTATTCCCTAGACTAGAGTCTCTCAACCTTAGTGCTATTGACATTTAGAACCAGATAATGATTCTCTGGGTGAGGGGAGGGCTGTCCTGTGCACTGTAGAATGTTTAGCAGCATCGCTAGCCTCTACCCTTAGATGTCAGTAGCCACTTTCCCCAGCAGTCACAATCAAAAATGTCTCCAGACATTGTCCAAAGTTGCCCCCGGCTGAGAAGCGCTGCCTTACAGTGTCTGCTGACATGTACAGGTTGAAGAACTGGACCTTGTTCTGAAACATCACTGAGCTGTCTGTGTGCATCAAATAGTATCCCAGCTGGGACCCTTCCTTGATCTCTCAGGCCCTGCAGGACATTGACTTCACTTAGGGTCACAGAACATAGATCAGCCCAGTAGGAAGGTTCTCTAGAACATATTTCTATGCACACATCCCTAAGGCTTCCCTTTAAACCATTATTTTCTGGGATTCCAACAAGTAGGCCACTCCCATAATTAAGTCCAGACATGCTATTTTTCCATCTCAGTTGCCTTGAAGGGGTCTTTTACTTCTCTACCAAGAAGAAAGGTATTGTCATTTGGGGAAAGGACTCACCTTCTTATGCTAGATATGTTGTTGCTGTTGTGTGCTGTCGAGTTGATTCCAATGCATAACGACCCTAACAGAGTAGAACTGCCCCATAGGTTTTACAAGGTGAATTCGAACTGCCAACCTTTTGGTTAGCAGCCGATCTCTTAACCATTGCGCCACCAGGGCTCCAGTTGTAAAGATTACAGCTCAGGAAACTATGGGGCAGTTCTACTCTATCCTATAGGGTCATATGAGTCACAATTGACTCGACAGTAACGGGTTAGGTTTCGGGTTTAATTTTTACAGGAGCAAATCGCCAGGTCTTTTCTCTCACAGAGGGGCTGGTGGATTCAAACTATTGACCTTATGGTTAGCAGCTGAGCAGTTAACCATTGTGCCTCCAAGGCTCCTTATGCTAGATATATTGACCTATATATTATAGGGTAAGGGAAGTTGGAGTCCCTGGGTGACACAGTTGGGTAAGCACTCAACTACTAGTCGAAATGTTTGTGATTTGAACCTACCCAGAGGCACCTTGGAAGACAGGCCTGGTGATATATTTCCGAAAGGTTACAGCCTTGAAAACCCTACGGAGCAGTTCTCCTCTGCACACATAAGGTTGCCACGATGCGGAGTTGACTCCACGGCAACTAACAACAACAACAACAAATGAAATTACATTGAAATTTAACTACCCTCCAAAATCCTTGCCTTAACTCTACATCCAAGCTGAAACCATGTGCTCAAAAAGCCACATATAAGGTGAGGATGTGGAAAAGCTCAGCTGCCCATGTTGACCCCAAGTGGCCAGGCGCTTGTTTCTGGGGTGTTCTGACAAGCAATTCCAGGTAACGCTATCGTATCTCTGCTTTCCGTTCATATCTCTTCCAGCACTCACTAAGACACGCTGTGCTTATTTTCTTTTCTTAGATATTGCTTATCTCTGTAGACAGAAACCAGGGGCCCAGTGGCACTGACCCATGCACTAGACGTGGCATGTCAAGCCTCAGCACCACTCTTCAGCTCCCTTTACACACCTATCACCACAGAGGAAACTGAACAACTTCTTCCTTTCATATGCATAGCTCTGGTTTTCCCATGATTTGGACTGAACGAAAGTAACTGACTTGCTGGAAAATTTTTGAGCCAAACACACCTGGTCCTTAAACCAAGTCTCTCTCAAAACCCGTGAGTGGACCAATCCCTTACACCCATAACGTGATATTTGTCCATAGGGAGTGGTGTGATAGACAGAAAATGGGTTCAGGAGTCCTCTACTTTGGACCCAATAGCAGTCAACAAAACTGGCATATTATGTGACCTTTGATAAGACACTTAAGCTCTTTGATTTTTTCCTATTTTGCAAATGGAGATAATAAACTCTGATAAATTTTATGTAAAACACACTCCACAGAACTCACAGGTGTGAATTCCTGTCCATGCTGCAAATGAAACTATCATTTTTATTGTTGTACATTAACTATGGTAATTTTGATACTAACTCTGCATCCAAAATATCTCTGTACCTATAGTTTTAGTGAGTCTTCCTAATCCTGATGTTATAATTTCTTGTATTCAAGTATCCACCCATATCTACCCATCTCTACTTGATTTCCACAATGTGTCTGTCAGTTTATGGTACTGTGGTGGCTTGCATGTTTCTGTGATCCTGGAAGCTATGTCGCTGGTATTTCAAATACCAGCAGGGTCACCCATGGTGGACAGGTTTTAGCAGCACTTCCAAGCTAAGACAGACCAGGAAAAAGGACCTTGTGGTCTACTTCTGAAAAAATTGGCCAGAACATTGTCTGATACAGTGCTGGAAGATGAGCCCCTCAGATTAAAAGACACCTAAAATATGACTGGGGAAGAGCTGCCTCCTCAAAGTAGAGTAGATCTTAATGACGTAGATGGAGTCAAGCTTTCGGGACCTTCATTTGCTGATGTGGCACAACTCAAAATGCGAAGAAAGAGCTGCAAACATCTATTAATGATTAGAACATGGAACGTACAAGTATGAATCTAGGAAAATTGGAAGTCATCAAAAATGAAATGGAATGCATAAAAATCAATATCCTAGGCATTGATGGGCTGAAATGGACTGGTATTGGCCATTCTGAATCAGACGATCATATAGCCTACTATGTCAGGAATGACAAATTGAAGAGGAATGGCGTCACGTTCATCATCAAAAAAAACATTTCAAGATTTATCCTTAAGTACAACACTGTCAGTGACAAGATAATATACATACACCTACAAGGAAGATCAGTTAATATGACTATTACTCAAATTTACAAACCAATCATTAATGCCAAAGACGAGGAAATGGAAGATTTTTACCAACTTCTGTAGTCTGAAATTGATCCAATGTGCAATCAAGATGCATTGATAATTACTGGTGATTGTAATGCAAAAGTTGGAAACAAAGAAGGATCTGTAGTTGGAAAATATGGCCTTGGTGACAGAAGCAATGACGGGGACTGCATAATAGAATTTTGCAAGACTACGACTTCTTCGTTGTAAAACCTTTTTTCAGCAACATAAATGGCAACTATACATGTGGACCTCACTGGACGGAAAACACAAGAATTAAATTGATTACATCTGGGAAAAGAGATGATGGAAAAGCTCAACAGAACAAGGCCAGGGGGCCAACTGCAGAACAGGCCATCAATTGCTCATATGCAAGTTCAAGTTGAAGCTGAAGAAAATTAAAACAAAGTCCTGGAAAGCCAAAGTAAACCTTGATTATATCTCACCTGAATTTAGAAACTATCTCGAGAATAGATTTGACGCATTGAACACTAATGATCGAACACCAGATGAGTTGTGGGATGACATCAAGGACAACATACATGAAGAAAGCAAAAGGTCATTAAAAAGACAGGAAAGAAAGACCAAAATGGATGTCAGAAGAGACTCTGAAACTCACTCTTGAAAGTAGAGCAGCTAAAGCTAATGGAAGAAATGATGAAGTAAAAGAACTGAACAGAAGATTTCAAA